TGAAGCACGGTGGTGGCAGCATCATGATGAAGCACGGTGGTGGCAGTATCATGATGAAGCACGGCGGTGGCGGCATCATGACGTGAGGATACTTACATGTGGGAAACTGTTTTCATTTTGGCATGAAAGGATCCTTTTATAGACATTGTGATAGTTGTAATGTGTATCGTGCACAGGACAGACCAAACAGGAAGCCACACATTTAAAAGCCTCCTTAACGTTACCAGAGGTCATCAAAGTGTTGATTGGTTGTGGCCTGTGTGTTTGTGTGTGTGTGTGTGTGTGTGTGTGTGTGTGCAGGGTATTTACGGGCGTTTGTTCGTGTGGATTGTGGAGAAGATCAACGCAGCCATTTACAAGCCTCCGTCCTCACAACCCAAAGCTCTGAGGCGCTCCATCGGCCTGCTGGACATCTTCGGCTTCGAGAACTTCACCGTCAACAGGTAAAACCTGCACATGCTCAGTTCCCCTGCATTAGTAGCAGGGACGTTATTCAGCCAAACTATGGAAGGTGATGCTCATTTGTGTTTCTCTTGCATTTCTTGGGGAGTAAAAATAACTTGCCTAAAACATCCTTTAGTATAAATTCCTGAAAGTTGTATGAAGACATTCACTGTTTTAGAATGTGACATAACACGAACATAAACCAGTGATGTGACAGCGATTAAAGCTTCATCACTTTGTTTGTCCTCCGTCCTGCAGCTTCGAGCAGCTTTGCATCAACTTCGCCAACGAGAACCTGCAGCAGTTCTTCGTCCGCCACGTCTTCAAGCTGGAGCAGGAGGAGTACAACCTGGAGCACATCAACTGGCAGCACATCGAGTTCACCGACAACCAGGACGCTCTGGACATGATCGCCATCAAACCCATGAACATCATCTCGCTCATCGACGAGGAGAGCAAGTTCCCGAAGGTACGAACCGAGACTCTGCTGGTTTCTGTTCCCTCGAAAGTCCAGACGCTGAAGTTAACATCTGGTCGACCGTCGGCTGGTTAGAGACGGAGCACAGAGGTCACGTTAGCGGTCGTACAGGAGCTTTGGCTTCACAGGAGAAAACTCTGGATCGGTCTAGTTTAGAACATTTGAATCAACCACTGATGCAACAGCTGAATTTCTGAGGGTTTAACTCTTCAGGAATAATAACTTTAAACCTTTTAGTCATGAGGAAGGCCGTGAGTCTACAGTTATTTGCTTTACAGTCAGTTTTAGCTTCTTGTTTATCTCTCTGACTAAAACTTTGGTCTTGTTGTTCATGTTCAGCTCTCTCATGGCTCAGCTCTCGAGAAATAAGTCGACAGATGAAGACCTCATCGTGGTTTGTGTTGTTTGGATTATTACGTAAAGAAACCAGCAAACCTTAGTTTAGTAAAGACACACAGCAGGCGTCCACCATGGTTGTTTTCTTTGTCTTTTTGGAGTTTTATCTCACTCACAATGCATCCTGGGAACTCTGCTTATGTCTGAGTTTTGTTTCTCAGCTTTATTTAATGAGTTGAGTGGATTTTTCAGCTGTTCATTCATCGTTTTCAGTCAAAATCGTGTTTTGGTTCTGAAGTGGCGCTAAACGTTTAACTGGACATGAGCAAAACTCTCATATTTACTTTAAGTAAACTAGAAACAACCATTTGATTTGATTAAACTCCTTTATGATGGCTTTAGGTGTAGAAATGTGCCGTCTCTTCATGGTGAGGACTTTAACTTAATGTTTGGTTCTTGCGGTTAAGTTAAGCAACTGCTTTCTAACGAGCAACTAAAACTGTATTTTTAAACGTCATCGGCCCATTTGGAGCCATTTGAAACCAAAAAGACTCGTAATTTAAACGGTGTAAATCATTTTAAGATGCCGACAACACAGCAGCAGCAGCTTCAGACTTGTTCTGTCGTCTACGAGGCACAAACTTGTTGAGTTACTGTTTTCACTTGAAGTCCAGCCCACAAGTGAAGGTCAGTGTTTAGTTTCTCGTTTCTGCTGCAGCTGAACAAAGTCGGCGTCGACGCCTCTACGTCTACGTTCTGGTGTAATTCTTTCCTTGCGTGTCTCCTGCAGGGCACCGACACCACGATGCTGAACAAACTGAACTTTCAGCACAAACTCAACACAAACTACATCCCACCAAAGAACAACTACGAGACCCAGTTTGGGATCCAACACTTTGCTGGAGTCGTTTTCTACGAGACGAGAGGTCAGAGTGGCTTAAAGTGTCATCATCTAAATGTTCATGTTTATGAGGATGAAGAGTCTGATGTGTTTAATTTTGTTTGTATCGTACACGAGGCTGCTGCTGTTTCACACACGGAGCAACACTTCAGACGGTTTATTTGTTTAATTAGTTGCAGGACTTTTATTTTAGTAGCTGCTAGTTTTTACTTCATTACAGCTCAAAGTCCTGCTTGCATACATTTATTTAGATAAAAATCATGAGTATTATTAATAGAATTTATCTATAACTTAATCTGGAATAGAACTTTATGTACAGTTTGATGGTTTAATGGTTTGAGGAAAAGTTAATGAGAGAATAAATAAGAAATAGAAACAAGAACATGATGCACAAATTAAAGTAGAAACTTTCTGTGACACATTTTGAAGTTTACTTGAACTTCTAGCAGCTCATCTAGTTTCTAATCCACGTGTCAGAACGGCTGTAAAACACTGGTTTCATTTATAAGATTGTATTTTATGAGTTTGTTCCATTTTCGGGATTCGTAATGTTTAAATTTTAATCTGACTGCTGTGGATGAATTAACCGTGGAGTTAAAAGTACAACAATCAGAACAGAAGTACTCGTGTGTATTTACCTTAAAATAATACTGTGCAGTATTCGAGTAGATGTACTTAGTTACTTTCCACCGCTGGTTTGTTGGTTGCAGGATTCCTGGAGAAGAACAGAGACACGTTGTACGGCGACATCATCCAGCTGGTTCACTCCTCCAAAAACAAGTTCATCAAGCAGATCTTCCAGGCTGACGTTGCCATGGTAACGGACACGGACACGCGCACACACACACGCACACACACACACACACACACACATACACCTTTATGTGCTGTGAGTTTACTGGAGTCAAAGATGGCGTCTTCTGCTCACCTGCCTCATGAGCCAAAAAACAAGTTTTCTCACTTCCTGGTTTCCTCTACAAGCTCCGCCCACAAGTTCCTGCTCCTCAGTAGAATAAAATGTCGTAATATTAGGTGTGAAAATCGGCCTGTTTGCAGTTGCAGGTGTCAACAGTTTGACGGACGTCTCCTTTAAACGAGGCGGCATCAAAACGTTCTGGGACAGTCTTTGGCCACAGCAGCACATTATCACTGTGCCGGACTCGACCCCCTGAAGTCTCTACCTTGTTCCAGAAATTAAACTTTAGTCAAAGAGTTGCTGTTTTGAGGCAGATGAGGAGATTCAGCTCATCAGAGATGCTGTTTGACAGAACAGGAGGCGTTCCAGCAGAGTCCCACTGCACAGGGAGAATAAAATCACATTTAAATCAAGTGTACTTCAGGTAGATGGCAAAGGGCAGCAAAGTCAAGAGCAAGAATTTAACTGTCTGTCTTTTATTCCTACGTGAGCTCAATCTGAACTGTTTACGTGTTTGATCTGCAGCCTGATCTCTGGATCCTTGTGTTTTTTTGTGTGTGTGCTTCTTTAAGTTACTGATGAAGCTTCCTGTTGTCATCTGTGATCCAGTTCTGTTTGATACGATTCCTTCAGCAGAGTCACTGTAACGATCAGAAACCAGCTTCAGCTTCGTTTCTCTCAATCACTTCATTTGACTGATTAGATCAATCCAGTGAAATTCTAATCGGTGCTTTCATTCATTTTCTAACAAAACAAGTTCATTTCATTTAACTCCAAAACCAGGAAATTTCAGCATCAACATTTTAATTTACAACCAACAGCTTCAGAGAATGAACTGAGAGCTGGACCCCCTCCAGCTGTTTTCTCCTCCTGCTGCTGCTGCTTTTGACTCTTTAACTCGCCTGTTTCTCAGTAATGTGCAGCTTAAAGGTAACATCAGCGTCTTCTTTGTCTTCCCTCTTTGTGTGTCTGTGTGTGTTTGTGTGCACCTGCATGCCAGTGTGTTGCTTCTCTTCAGTCTCTGTGTGGTTTCTCTGCTGATAGTTCAGTAGCTTCACCTGCCACAGCTCCTCCCAAGGTAACAGAAAGCATCCATCCAGCACCTCCAAAACAAAAGCCTCCATCGACTCACCTGTTCATCTGTTTATTGGTTCTTCATTCACACTCTGAACAGTGAAACCGTGTTTTATGTTTTATTCTCATTTATGTTGTTTGCTGTCACATCAGGATCAGGTTGAAGTGAAATCAGATTTAATGTTCAGTGAAGATCTGTTCATGTCTTTAGGTGAATAAATCACCTCGTCTACATGAAGAAACACATCACAGCTACATGGATGAACTTCTTTTTCAAATGCCAGAGTTTTTAAAAGGATATCAATGCTTTTTTAAATAAAACTCATGATCACCTAGTGCCTCCTAGTGGCCACAAAGCAGAACTACAATAAAGTTCAATATATTTATGATGATTCTAAATGATTAAACCAATCAAGTCTTGTTTATATTTTTATTTTAATCGATATTGTTGATGTATTATTCTGTTAATGTGTCATGAATCAATCAGTCAAACTTCATTTATGCTGGACTTTTTTAAACAAATCAAATCAAAGTCCTTTACAAGCAAAGTCCAGCACGTTAAAAACAGATTTAGAGACTAACGCAAAACAAAACAACAAAACAAAACAAGATAGAAACTGAGCAGTACATCATCATGTAGTTTGCACACACAAAACCTTTTAACCCGTTTACATTTGTTTCTTTCTAAATTCTACTCTCAAAATTTACTTTAATTTTTAAATCGCTCCATAAAAGTACGTGGTACAGCTTGACAATGTTGATTAATTATTTTACTCTTCCAACCTACAGTTTTGATATTAAAACGTTTTGTACCGCCATGAACAGCAACCTTTTAATAAATAATTTACTAAGTATAAGCATAACTATTTTGAAAACAGAGACCGGAAATGATTCGTTCTTACTCGTGCTAACTTAACGCTGTAGTTCCTACTATAACCACTGGGGGCAGCAAACGCGTCCCTGTATCGACGCACCCTTCTCCGCTATTGCACGTTTAAATTTAATGCTGCAGTACCGACTGTAGCCACAGGAGGGGAGCAAACAGTGTAAAGACAACAACAATTTCATAAACATTACTTTTCCGGGACGGACTTTCAAAATAAAAAACACGTCACAACGTGCGTCTGTATATTTGAAGTCATCGGTCGCCGAAGCACCAGGGAAGCTAGCGGTGTTCTGTCGCAAGTGTTGTCGGTCTTTTAACAGCATCTTTAGGCAGATTAACTATGAGCTAAAACCGCACCATGTTTGTTTGTTTGTTTTTCAGTGCTTATATATGCTAAACACACACACACACACACACACACACACACACACACACACACACACACATATATATATATAGTGTAAATAAAGTAGCGCCGTAGGAGCTAGGCTAGCTGTTTCCTTTTAATGTTTTATTCTTAACTAACTCACAAAATTGGTTAAATCAACGGGTCTGATTCGGTCATCTATATCTCTACTCGTTCAAACTTAATTATTTGCACTGGAGATAAAAATAAATACTATTGGTTATTGAAATTAATTAGTTAAAAATCGCAATTTATTTCGAAGCCTTGACCGGAAACGTCCTTGTATTTATTATTGTAGCTAACTTAACCTAAAATGCAGGTCATTTTTGTGGCCGCTGGAGGGCAGCAAATGCGCATAAAGTCTACCGTCAGCTGTCAAGATCAAGAAAAAATATATATTTGAAACAACTCCATGTATTTCTACTAATTACACCAACAGTGATCAGCTACTGTGAGACATGAAATAACTTCTATTCAGTCTACGTGCTTTACTTCTGAATTGGTTTTGGTGTTGCAGTACCTGACTGTGACCACAGGAGGGCAGCACACACTGTAAAGAGAAAAACATTTACATAAACACTATTCCGGCAATTAATTTCAAAATAAAAGCTCGTCACAAAGCGTAGCGGTGTGTTTCAGCTCTTTAAACGGTGCCATTCAAGTAGAAAATGTTTGCTAACCTGACATCTGTTTATAAACGTGTTAGTTAGCTAGTTAGTCGTCGTCTTAGTTCTTAGTTTTACTTCTTTTTTAATCACCCGATATGTGAAGTTTGGGCTCAACCGCCGGTCAGGTCACCGGATTTTACCGGTAACGGAACACACCGTAACACCCGCTAAGCTAGCGGTGTTCTGTCTGTGCGCAAATTAGCTACGAGTTAAAACAATGTTGTGTTTTGTATCTCGAAGCTACCGTATTTACACCATATATGTCCATATTTAATGCACACATATGTGGTGTAAATACGTTAACTTCGATGGAGCTAGGCTAGGCTAGCTGCTGTCATTGTCTCAGCTCGGCTAAAGCGTCACGGAGCTAACGCGGCTAATGCTAGCTAGCTAGCGGTCCTGTATCCAGCCTGGACTCCGGTAAGATAAATATAAAGATAAATAAAATGTAAATTAAAACTCTCCTCCAGGCACTACTGTTGTGATTTTTGGACTGTTGTTTAAATAAAAATGGCTTTTCTGGTAAATCATTTAATAATGATGTTTAAATAGAGCTGTAATAAACAGTTTGGTTTCCAGCTGACCTGTCTGTAATGTTCTACATTTATCAGTTGGTTTAAAATAGTCAGAAAATATGATAAACTCTTATAATAGTTCCCCTCAACCTAAGAGACTAATCCAGATACATATTTTTTATTTATCCAACATTCTAAAGTCCCAAATATATCATTTATTATCATATGTGTTGGAGGAAAACATCAAATCCTCACATTTGAGAAACTGGAACTTCTGATATTTGTAATATTTTTCTCTTAAACTAGCAGCAGGTCACTTCATTGACCTTGAATCAGGTGTTTCTCTGTATAAACCTTATAAAGCTTGAAGCTGCAGTTTCAGCCCCAAAATCTTCAGTCTGTTGTAATATGTGATCAAGAAAAGCTTTAAGTTTGAAGAATATGTTGTTTTACTTTGAAAATAGCTGCAGGTGAGTTTTTAATCACTTGTTTGAGGTTTTAATCCGTCCTGTGATAAAGCTGCTGCTCCGTCCACACCTCATAAAGCGTGAAGCTGCTGTAACAGCCCCAAAATATTCAGTTTAATGTCATATTTCATGAAGTATAAAAACGATATCCTCTCATTCAATAAGCTGGAACCAGCACATGTTTGTGTTTTTTGTTTCAAGCAGTGAATTAACATCAGAATTTATTCTGTTTGACTGTTTAGAGAAAGAGGAAAAAGGTTTGTGTCAGAGCTCAGGATCCTCACTGTGGGCGACCCTCACACTTTATCTGCTGCCTCGTGTTGTGTGTGTGTGTGTGTNTGTGTGTGTGTGTGTGTGTGTGTGTGTGTGTGTGTGTGTTTTCAGGGGGCAGAAACCAGGAAACGTTCTCCGACGCTGAGCAGTCAGTTCAAAAGATCTCTGGAGCTGCTGATGAGAACTCTGAGCGTCTGTCAGCCGTTCTTCGTTCGCTGCATCAAACCCAACGAATACAAGAAGCCCATGGTGAGTGTTCTGACCGGACAGCCGCTGTGTTTCAGGGGTTCAGTCGACAATCTGTGTCATAGATTATAAAACCGCACTGAAGCCAGCTGAAGGAAAACATAAAGTTGGATAAATCTGAGAACAGTCGTTGTTTGTCTCGGTGACGGTTCCACTACAGATGACGCTAACAGAGAGGTTTACAGGATTTAAATTCAGAAATGATGTTTTTAATTTCAGTTCAGCTCCAGTTATGAGTCCTTCTGTCTCCTGGATGATTTGATGTTCAAGTTATTTTAGCTGCTTCTTGTCTTTACTTACAGATAAAATACTGACCTGGTTTAAATTCACACAACATGGAAAAAGATCAAGTGAAAGTCGTTTTCAGTTGTTTTCTTTTGAAACTGTAGAATTAATACGTTCCAGTTTCAGGACATTTTTCAGGATGAAACTTTCAGATTTTCACTTCAGATATTCAGAAAACACAAATGAACCACAAACAGTGTTTTTATAAAGTATAAGACGATGATCTTGTTATTAAACTTCATTGAAACAAGTGAAATTGTTCCAGATCAGCAGTGAGATCCATAAAAAGTCAACATTACTATTAACTGAATTTTTTAGTCGTAGAGTTTTAACGTGTACTGAAGCGACCTGGTGTGTGTGTGTGTGTGTGTGTGTGTGTGTGTGTGTGTGTGTGTAGTTGTTTGACAGGGAGCTGTGTGTGCGTCAGCTGAGGTACTCGGGGATGATGGAGACCATTCGGATCCGCCGTGCTGGATACCCCATACGCTACACCTTCGTGGAGTTTGTGGACCGCTACAGAGTCCTGATGCCGGGAGTCAAACCCGCCTACAAGCAGGTGACAGACTGTTTGTTTGTTTGTTTGTTTGTTTACATTCTGAGGACGTGTTCACGTGTCTGACAGTCTCTGAGTTCTGCTTTCTACGAACTGAAACTAGCTCCAGGTCAAAGTTTTTCCCGTCAGAGCAACCAGAACCGGTCACTGTTTTCTTTGGACCCGTCGTGGTTCTGTTTCCGCTGCAGCCTCGAGCTCAAACTGTTTCTGTGTGCGACCGAAAAACAGCCGTTTGACTTTCTAACATCACGATTAAGCTGCTGTTCAGGTGCTTCACCGTTTGTTTTACTTCAGTTATTTATCACAGCTACACGTAAATAACATTGATGGAAGCTTTAAATGACAAAATCAAACAGATTGTCAACAAATAAACCAACATATAGAGGTACTAGTTCTAGCTGTGACAGTACTGCTCATGTCGGTGATACTGAGAGAAGTATGAATGTTGGACAAATGATCGTCCATCTTCTGTTAAAGTCCATCTAAAGACAAACACACAAACAAGACGTCCTCATCGCTGTCGTCACGTTAGCTTTTATTTTAATTATTCTCTGTATCTAAGCACCGACTCAGAGCCGCTGCATCCATCTCATGTCATAAATCTGATGAACCTCCTGGTCTCGTCCATCAGGAGGACCTGAGGGGAACCTGCCAGAGGATCGCTGAGGCGGTGCTCGGCAGAGACGACGACTGGCAGATGGGAAAAACCAAAATCTTCCTCAAGGTAAAGCTGCTTCAAAGCACCGTCACACGACGAAGGCAAGCTGGAGCAGAGAGACGATTAGTCTGGACCGGAGGGTTTACCAGCACCAGTCATCGCTTTAACGGTTTTAATTATAGAATATGTTCACCTGAAGATGTTTCTGGTGGTTCTGATGCTGGTTTTTATCTTCTCGTCACCAGCAGGTTGGTCGTTGTCGACTCCACTGCTTGTTTCCACACATGAAGCTAAAGAAATGTGTGTTTAGGGAGGTGGAGGTTCTGGTTGATTCTGGTCCATATGGAATCGTCTGTAGATGATGTGTGGTCCGGTGTCGTCCTGCTGGAGGCTGATGTTGGCTGGTTCATGTGTGTAGCCGAGGTCATTCAAAGAGCTTCACACAAAACTAGAAGAAGACAAATAGAACCAGAACCAGAACACAAACACAGTTATTAACTGATTACATTAAAAACAAAGAAGCAGATCAAATCAGTCCATAAAGGGAACAGATCAGATACCTCCAGCTGTCATATGAACACTAAACTGTTGTCAGCCTGGATGTGAACGTTTTCAGAGTTGTTCTGGTGTCAGGACCAGACGGTCAGAACCAGCTGATCCACAGAACCTCGTGCAGCAGATGCAGTTTTCTCTTACAGCAGAGCAGCTGTTCAGCAAACACACCAGGTTGATTTTCTTCTATTTAATGTGGAGGTGATGTCGGACCGGGTCTCAGCGTCGTCAGACCCTGAATGTGAAACGATGAAGAGCTTCATGTCAGCAGCTGATTGGCTCGTTAGACGTTTAGTAAACGGGTGTTAATGGTTGTGATTATTTCAGTAGTTTCTCTGAGCTTCAGCCTCCCAGCAGCAGACCTGGACCTGGACCAGCTGATCCTGGTTCTGTGGTTGTTCCCGGTTCACAGCGTCAGTGTGTTTTTCATTTTTCGCCGTCATGTGTGTGAATGTTTGGTTTTCCTCCCAGAGAGGTCACATGTTGTCCTGAGGAACGTCCGTTAGCTGGTTTCCACGGTGACGCTGGTGATGGTTTGTTTTGTCCTCCTGTCACAGTTTTATCTTTCCACCGCTGTTGATCTGATGACGTGTTGATCAGTTCATCTCTGCCTCCACACCGTTAAACCCAGCTGGGTTGCTTTACGTTGAGATTCAGTGACAGATTATTTTGTCCCTCGGCAGGCTGCTGACATGTCGTCTAACATCTGCTCCTCTGCTTCAGACAAACATGCTAACAAATCATCTTAAAAGGAGATCAGGGGTCTCTGGAGCTGTAGAGCTGTTATCTGAAGTCATTAAGTCTAAATGAAGCTGCTGCTGGTCTAACGGAGGCTTCAGCTCACAGCTTTCTACCACTAGTATGATCGTATTAATCACTAGAAGGTCAAATCAGTCACTATGTCTGATAAAAGCAACACATCAGAAGAAGATCAATCTGTTCTCAGTTTATTTTTGATGCCATAAAGGTTTTAACAGCAGTAGAAGTGGACTCTTCGTCGTCCTGGAGCCGTAAACTGAAGGAAGAATATGTAAACTCCTGCAGTTCTGATTTGAGGAACGTTGACGTTGCAGATCGTAGAGACGGATGCTGCTGACATTCTTCTTTCTCTGAATATGAAATAAAAAGGCAGATATTTGCAGGAACTGGGCGACACGTTGATGATCACAGTGTTTAGAGTGAGACCAGTTTTCTGAGTCGGACAGGAAGTGGAGCAGGAAGGAGAAAGTTGAGGAGGTGAAGCGGGGCAGCGGCCACACTTCCCCACCGGACGGACGACCGCAGCAGGAAAACA